GAATCAATTGGTTAATCACAAAACATTGATTTTTGTAATCATTTCACACAAAGCAAGGCAATACAGCCACTAAGACGCAAGGAGTTATTGAGTATGAGAGTATAGGAGAAAGAAAATCACTATTAAGGAAAAGAACAACAAACGAACAAGAATTAAATAGACAGACGTTGCATTTAATTTGCATGAGACGTTGCATTTAATTTTTTGAAGATCAAAGTTGACTGTTCCATAAGCGAGAAGTGCGATAAAAGAAACTGTTACACTATTTACATTATTCGGACTATAGTCCTCATCTTTGTTGCCATATTTATTACAATGTTTCGGCCGTTGTATGCTCTGGCCTTCTTCAGGTGGTTGGAATGTCGAACTGAACCCTTTATTTCGCACACTGGGGTAGACTGTTCTATTTCCACGTGCCATATTTAATGGATATCAGTTGTCAGTTATCTCCTGTTGATTCCCTTTTCCACTGCCTTAACTGTTCAGTTCGACATTCCAACCACCTGAAGAAGGCCGGGGCGTACAACGGCCGAAACATTATAATAAATATGGCGACAAAGATGAGGACAATAGTCCAAATAATGTAAATAGTGTACATAATACCTCATCTCAGAAATATAGACAGATACTGAAGAAACTATTAGTCTAGAACTCACGGTTACATCTAGCCATTTCAATTGTAAAATGATGAGACCTTGCCGCCTATCTAGTCTAGGTACCATACAGGAAAGTAATATTTATTTTGTATTATACAAAAATGTGGCACAAGGTCAAAAGGGGGATTGGGGGAAGACTTTTCTTCAACTGTCTTATATTTAAACTTAACTAGCTGAAATCACCGACCGAAACATACATCAATACTCCTTACCCCACTAAAACACATTCTTTCTTACCCTCTTTTTTTATTACAGACACCATAATGCCTCAAGTTCTAACTAGTCCACATCTGTACAATTTAACTGTAGGGTGGGAAATATAAATAACCATCAGAAAAGCTCATCAGAATAATCCCCATGAAAGTATTTATAAAAAAGGCAGAAAGAAGCTGCGTTATAGCGGCAGGGAAAGCGACTAAATTCAAGATGCCAGGGCAGGACCAATAACATAGCAGATTCTTCTGTGTATTTTATCAAGAATATCTAATAGCAGAATCAACAGACCAGATATTGCTTATTTTCTATTTAAAAAGAAATTGCGATAGTGGTTATTGATAACTGATATCGATAATATTGATAAAATTGATAATTGGTAGATAAAATTGATAAATATAGATAAATAATTGATAAAATAAATAAAATTGATAACTGATATTGATAATATTGATAATAGTAATAAAATAACTTGCATAATAAAATCTGACATAGTGTCGAGTGGTCGAAGACGCTGATGATTTTTCTCAAAAAATTCTTCTTGCAATTCAATGAAGTTGATAAACCTTTACTTTATAGAGAATTACTGAAATAAAAATAATACTTATTAGGTTATATTCAGCGTTGAATATAGCGTGTATAACGAATAACCTACCGTGTATTGATATTAAAGGATGAGAGAAATGTGCTATAACTGCTTGCACCCCTGAAGATGATCTTGGAAGAAGATCGAAAGTACTTGGGAAATGAAAATAAAAGACATTTAAACAGTTATAGCACAGTTCTCTCATCCTTTAATATTAATACACGGAAGTATCCGTGAGTATGAACGGATTTTGTTAAAAATTAGCAGACATAATGTCTTTAATTTATTCAATCACACACACACACACACACACACACACACACACACACACACACACACACATATATATATATATATTGATATTTCACGTATATTTGAATCTAACAAAGGAGCTACCCAGTTTTCACTTTCCTGCATTGGTAGAATCTAAAAGTGCCCTCGAATCCTTATGGGTGATGAATTATTTAACACCCTGCAACCCCTTTCCCGCAGATGAACCGTTGGAATCATCATGCTGCTCTATGGCTATTTTCATGAAAAATGTTCAAACGAATTACATTCTTTAATCAACACCAATTGTAACGTTCGCGACTAATACCGACCATACCATGCACAATGTAGGAAAACAATTCCATTGGTTAGATGTAATTTTCACTCGAGTAGCTTCTGCTCGCGAACCGCTACTTTGTAAATTCGAATCCCAAGAGGATGCTTCCCCTATACACTACAATCTAACCTATTCAAGTTCAGGGTCAACAGTTATCTTCCTCACATAGTCTCATGAACTGTGCATCTTACTCTGTAACACTCTACTTTAAGTGGCTCTTGGGCTTTGCACAAGGTGAACATTATTGTAAAATAATGTAATCAAATGGCTGTTCATGGTAATACTAATATATTATTAGAAGGATCTTTATCCGAAAATATAATTACAATTCTATGCGATAGAAAATGCTAATGCAATTTTTGATCCGCTAATTCGTTTGATGCACACACGATAATGTTTTGTTTCGGGAATGATCCATCATCAGCTTTTCTACGTGAGTGTCTAATCTTTTGTCGGATAAATTCAAATTATTTCTGATGTTTTTATGGATTTGCTTTACAAATACTGACACCACTTCGCATATTTGCTTTCGAACAAACATCGCTGATAGTAGAATTCGATAATTTTCTCTCTGTGCTTAACTGTCTTGCTTTTTTTTTTAGTTCTCTGTTTTTCTTTTTCTTTTTTTTTTTTTTCAGCAAATCCGCCATTTTTTTTTGTTTTGTTTTTTTTAAATACGAAAGCTGGAGAATAACCTCAACGGATCATTACCTGAAATGCAGAAAAAAAAATCACTTATTTCAGACAAGAAAAAAAAAAAATTTCTTCTCTTCCTCCCCTGTCGATTTCTAATCAGATGAATATTCAGTAAGATTTATTTATGGATGACAGATGTCATGAATGACAATTTCTCAACCAGTTCGTCGTCTGTTCAAGGTGTAAAAATATTTTCAACTCAGAAAATGGCATGTCTGTAAGCATGAGTCTGCACTGATAACACTGGGCAACAATGTTATTCGGGCAAAGATGCGTACTAAACCCAGAATTGTGGGAAATCCAAATTTGTTATATACATGTTTAGGGAAATTTGTCATATGAATTACACGGGAGACCAAAAACGTTTTGTCTGCTACCTAGACAACTTAGACTGTATTAAATGTGACTAAATCGAGTAGGCTAATTCCGATTCCTTACATAGATTTTGTTTTAAAACAAGCCACGATTTACTGTATACATATGATTAAGGATACCTTGTTTTATATTAATTACACTGGACCACACAAAATTTTATCTTTTACTAAGACAAATTATGTTACACTTATCAAAATTGAATACGCTGATTCCAGATTTGTAACTCAAATTACTTTAGCACCTCCTGATTTTGTGTTATGTGTACGAACTTGTCTGATAGAGCCTCAATGTAGACTAACCTGGCAGAAAGAACTTACCCCTTACGCAGATATTCGTAATTACAGAGGATTTTATGAGACCCTGAAAGTAGTATACGATCCTTCATATAAGGTCCAGAGTGCTTTGTTCAAGCGATATTTGCAGATATGGCTTAAGTATAAAACAACTGGTGAAAACATTTTTTAAAAGACTCTCTTCGACGTCAACCACACAGTCTACGAAAGAGCACACAAAATCAAGTGAAAATATAGCTGGATTTAGACCCACCCCAAGAAACCACCAAAAGCCACTGTTCAGCTCAAAAGAGAAAGGGCAACAGGAGTTGGTGGAATTCGACTAGAGATTTGGAAACATGGGGTCCCATCCTTACACAGAAAACTCAGAGTTTTTGTTTGGTTCTAGGAACAAGACACACCTGCTCAAAGTGGAAAAAAGCGACTACCACCCACTATCAGAATAACTCTGATTTCCATCATAGGAAAATTACTTGAGGGAGTACTTTTGAACCGACTGATGCAAAATACTTTCCAAAAAGCCAGTCTGAATTTAAAACCAACAGAGATACCCCCGACAGTTTGTTTTTGTTGTCAGACAGTTGAAATAGAAATGTAGAGAACAAAACAAGGGAGCATCCATATGTAACGCTTGTAAACCTTACCAACTCGCAGCAAATCTTGAAACGATTAGGGCGTGCCTCACATTTTCTCAACTTGATCATTTAAAAATAAAAATACGTAGACAATAAAAATAAGAATACCTAGGCAAGTTAAAAACAACAAGGGCTTCTCAGAACACTTTTCCATAACTAGCAGTCTAACTTTTCCACTTTGTCGCCATATATATATATATATATATATATATATATATATATATATATATATATATATATATATATATTTTACGTTTATACATTCTTTAAAAATAATTGTCAGACTTTGTCTATTTTTATATATATATATATATATTAGCTCTTGAAAATAAATTAATTCGGTCGAGTACTGTGGGAAAAAGCGCGCATTTATAAACAGAAAATATTACTGTTAATAATGCAAGACTCTCCCAAAGGACTGAGTCCTATAGACCATTGACGTGTTTATGAAAAAATAAATACGCAAAAATTCGCCTTTCGCTCTGCCGAGCGTCAATAGACTAGTGGTTTAGAATCGCTGTTATGTTGTTGGTCAGCCTCTTGCTTCGCATCTGTCTATATTTATGAGATGACTTATTGTAAATATTTGTACTATTTACATTGTTCGGACTGTTGTCCTCATCTTCGTTGCCATATTCGCGACGTTTCAGCCGTTGTACGCTTCGGCCTTCTTCAGGTGACTGGAATTTCGAACTGAACCCTTTATTTCATCTACCGGGGTAGATTGTTTTAGTTTTGCTATTCCGGTTGTCTCAGTATCAATCATCTCTCTTTTAACTGAACTCTCTAAGTTTTTGCTCACCTCAACTGTAGCCAGGTATTGAACTCACAACTATTTGGGTCAAGTCACTTTTGTCTACTGGGCCATGTGGACTCAAGTGGGTAAAAGCGCTGGGAAGGCTGAGTTATCGAACCAAGTTCTTCGCAATATTCTCCCGTATGATGTACCATAGAAACCTTGATGCTGAAGATTGTGTCTACATCCATTACCGACATGATGATAGCCTGTTCAATCCGAGGTGACTATATGCTCACATCAAGAAAGGGAAGCAACTCATCCGGGAAATACTCTTCGCCGATGCTAAGGCCCATGTTGCGCTGCTATGTTCTGAAGACGCCTAATATAAATAGGCGAAGCGCGTAGTCTAACTTTTCCACTTTGTTGTCATATATATTGTCATGGGTCCTTACCTATAACTACAGAATGAACTCTTCCTAACACTATGTATACTACGTCTCTCAAGAGAGAGGGTCGAATCGAGTCGAGCTGATAGTAGTTCACTCCAAACCAGACTGACAGTCATACTAACACCTTCCACATCTTGTATTATTATTTCGTGTAATATACCTTCGTTATTTCTACTCTTGTGTTCGTGTTGTTCTTCCTTGGTCCTAACCTGGACCAACACACACACACACACACACACACACACACACACACACACACACACACATATATATATATATATATATATTAGCTCCTGAAAATAAATTAATTCAGTTGAGTGCTGTGGGGAAAAAGCGCGTATTTGTAAACAGTGACTATTACTGCTAATAATGCAAGACTCTCCCAACGGATTGAGTCCCATAGGCCATTGGCGTGTTTATGAAAAAGTAAATATGCAAAAATTCGCCTTTCGCTCTGCCGAGCGTCAATAGTCTTGGGTTTAGAATTCCCAACTGATAGCAAATCGGTCGGGTTTCGGTCCCGGCTTGAAGCGATCGGATGTCTAGCCATACCGAGGAGCTGTGATACAGCAAAATAGTCTGTTTGTGGATGATCATATATATATATATATATATATATATATATATATATAACTGGACATTGCGGTCAACAGCCAGCAGCGAAATTCTGTTTCATGCTTAAAAGCAATCTTCAGGCTATGTCTGTTGCGTTTAAGCATGAAACAGACTGTCACCGCTAGGTGTTGAGCCCAATGTTCATTTTACAAACTCTCTATCTCTGATATTGTACACTCTAAACCATAAATATACCATCCCATAAAAGTATATTTTTATCATATATATATATATATATATATATATATATATATATTAGCTTAATATCAGTGAGAGAGCTAACATATTTAGTTGGATTGATATGTGTTTGTGACTCTGGTTTTCACGCTGTTTGCAATTGTCAGATAATATACATTAATTCAATTTAATTAGAAAACAGACAACCTTAGGGGTCCATTGATTATATTTTATTTCCCCAGGTAGTTGTTTTTACCTGGTTCTTCAGATCACATTTAAAAGGGTCATTATATATATATATATATATATATATATATATATATATATATATATATATATATCAAATGTAAAAGAATGAAAGAATATGAATTCAAACGTTCATAATATTAATTTAAAAAGGTTTTAATACAAGGTAGTAGCAATATATATATATATATATATATATATATATATATATATATATATATATATAAATATTTACATTAGAACATGCATGTTACCACGACAAAAATGCATATTTGTTTCAATGTGTAAAGACGTCTAAACAAATATGCATTTTTAGCATGGTAACTTGCATATTCAATGTAATAGTTTATAATATATATATATATATATATATATATATATATATATATATATATATTGGTTGGATATGAGATGTGAGTTTGTGACCCTGGGTTTCACGCTTTAGCGATCGTCAGACAAATATAAATATATATATATATATATATATATGTATATGTATGTATTCAAACGTTATTTTAACTACTGCATAAATATGAATAAAGCACCCGAGCGTCCGAACAATATTGAATATATAGGGAAAAAATTGTTGCCGAAGGATTTTAATAATCTTCTGTATGCAACGGAGTTCTTTGCTGCTCTGTGGCGGTTAAATATTAATAAACTTATTATTAAACTTGCAATTTGAAAATAACTTGCACTAATCCGATACACACACACACACACGCGCACAGACGCACACTGACACACGCACTGACACATGCGCGTGCGCCTGGACGTACACACGCACACACATGCACGCACAAATAGACACCAACACACACACACACACACACACACACACACACATACACACAAATGATAATTTACAAAACCTTTGTCTGTGTAACTTGCATAGTCATGTTTACTGACCAGCAGGTTACTTTTCTTTTCAAAAATTTTGATTAGAAAATCTTCTCTTATGAATCTTGTGAAATGCGGAGATTTGATTGGTTGTTGCCGTTGTTGACGTCATCGTCATTTTGACCTCTGCATGCACCATCTTAAATCTTTCGCGTAAAAAGGTGAAAGCGAGATCGCCCAAAATATCGGATTGTCTCTGTCAGTGATATTTGTTCACCGGTAGCTGAAGTCCAAAATATGATTGAAAAGAATAAGAAATTATATCGCTTTTTCCTGCTGTTCCGTCTTGGAATTATTTTCAGTACTTTCTCTTTCGCCGGGTTTTTTTTCTTTTATTTATCGATGGCCTTTTATAACACGATGTTTATTTTTCATCTCTTTTTTTTATTTTAGCGTTTTCTTTGTTTCTTTTTCCTATTTTACTCCTTTTTTTCATATCCACCTTTTACTCTTCTTCCTTTTAATTTTTCTTCATTCTTTTCCTTTTCTTCTTTTAATTTTTCTTCCCTCTTTTCCGTTTCTTCCTTTTAAATTTTCTTCATTCTTTTCCTTTTCTTTCTTTTTTCTTTTTCTCCCTTCCTTCTTTTTTCTTGCTTCTTTTTTCCATTTCCTTCCATTTTTGTTTTTCCTTCATTTTTATTTTCCTACCTTTCTTTATTCCTTTATATCGTTTTCCTTTCTTTCCGCCTTTATTTTTCTTCTTCTTCTTCCCATTGTTGCATTTTTTTATCTTTGTCGTCTTTCCCCCTTTTTTCTTTTTAATTCTTATTTTTTGTTTTTACCTTTCACTTTTATTTTTCTACATCTTGCTTCTTTCTTTTTCTTTTCTCATACGTTTTTCTTTTCTTCTTTTTTTATTTTTCTTATCTTTGTTTCTTTCTTTTTTTTCTGCATTTCTTTTTCTTTTCGTTCCTTCTTTTCTTACATTTTGTCTTTGTTTCCTTCCTTTTCCATGCTTACGTTCCCATTATTTACATTTACCATTTTTATTTATTTTCATTCTTTCTACTTTTCCTGCTTTCCTCCATTTTTTTTTTACCCTGTTTTTGATGCTTTCCATTTTTATTTTTCTTCCGTCTTTCATTCAATTTTGCATTCGTTCTGTTTTTTCGTCTCTGGTGCTTTTTGTCTTTTATTTCTTATTCTCTCCTTTTTTCTTTTTTACCATACTTTTCTTTTTCTCATTCTTGCTCTCTTTTTCTCTATTCCTTCCTTCCTTCCTTCCTTCCTTCCTTTTTCTAACTTCCTTCTTTCTTTATCTTTTTCTTTTTCCTTCTTTCTTTTTCATTTTATATTTCTCCTCTTTCTTATTCATGTATCTTTCCTTTCATCCATTCCTTCTTTATATATTTTCCTTCCTTTTCTCTTATTTTTCTTACCTTTTTTCCTTCCTTCTTTTCTTTTTCTTTCCCATTCGTTCTTTGATAGTTTTCTTTGACTATTATTTCTCTTCAAATCTCTTTGAAGTTTTATGATTCTTCTTTCTTCTATTTCATTGTTTTGAATTTCTTTTCAAACATCTTATTCTTGCCTTCGATCTTTTATTTAAACATAGATGTTTAGTAGACTAAACTGAGTTTAGTGTGGCCAAATGCCAAACAGGATAAGTGGGTTGGGAAACTTCCGCGTACCAAGTATAGTGCGCTTGCTTGCATTGATAAATTGCTTTCGCGGTTCTGTCTTTTAATCGTAATAGAATTCCGAGCAGAAGCGATGGTGAGGAAATACGGATATATCCCAACCACGGAGCAGGCCATTATAGTTTTTTTTTTTTTAGATACCTTTCTTTTATTTCTCGTATAACTTTCTGTTATTTTTTTTTCGATTTGGTTGTTCATTGTTTTTGATTTTTTTTATACGAAGTGTGACAATTTAATTTCTGGAATGACCGCAGGTAAAATGTTTTACTCGAGCTTATCCGGACATGTTTGAACTGTCACTTTCTTAAGACACAGACCAGATGAGTCATTCGTTGTCGAGGAGTAGAGGAAGTTGTACGTGTTTATATTATATTGTTGGTAGGAAATGAATGAAAAGGATTTTGATCATCAAGTTTTGTGGAAGGATTAGTGAAAGTTCTAATGAAACATTAATCTTATTAAAATGATTTATGGTGAATATACTATGAGGAAATCAGGTGTTTTTGAGTTCTACAGGTAAGTGGACTGCAAAAAACTAAAAGAATACATGCGAATGTGGACAGAGTGCGAACAATGGTGCTCTCAGATGGAAGATTAAGCGTATGATTGGTAGCAGAAGAAATGGATAGGAAGAGAGAAAGAATGCAGTAGATTCTTAAAAATGTGCTTGTGAGAATGCTTTCCTCAAAGAACGCGCCTCGAATCTTCACGATTTAATTCTTAGAATGGCCAGGTGAAAGCAGAGTTGGCTTACCCGATCATTATTGGTTGCTGTCACCTTCAAAGGGCTCTCCACTTGGCCCAGTGGATAAAAAACCTTGGTTAGATCCAGTAACTAGACGTAAAGTGTTGTGAGTTCAATACTAGCAGTGATGAACCAAAAAAAAAAAAAAAAAAAAAAACGTGGAGAGTTGAGTTAAAGGGAAATAACTGAGAAATCCGGAAGAAGCACAGCACTTGAAACTGGAAAAATCTATTCCGGTGGTCGAAATAAAGGGTTCAGATCGAAATTCTAATCCCCTGAAAAAGGCTGGTGCGTACAACGGCCGGAGCGTACAACGGCCGAAACGTTGTGAATATGGCAATGAAGATGAGTATAACAGTCTGAATAATGTAAATAAAGTAAATAATCATAATATCTCATCTCAGCGATATAAAGATATTGAATATACCATCTTTTTTTTTGTTATAGACAAATAATGAAAAATAATGGGAAAATTTGTTGAAATAAATTCAGATAAATGTATAAAAATGATAGAAACAGGAATTCTGATAGAAAGAAAGAAAGTATTCGTCTATACACTCCAGGAATTGAACTTATAATTACTATGCTACCGGATTCATGAATCAACGCTTTAATCTTTGAGACAATTCAAAAGTTAAAACTTGGGGCCTTAAACCTCGTGGTTTTATTTCCTGTTACCTGAAATTATTCTTTCATTTGTTCCTCAAAGTTTTCTTTTCAGAAATCTTCATTCTCTTTCTTTCTTTCTTTCTTTCTTTCTTTCTTTCATTCTTTCTTTCTTTCTTTCTTTCTTTCTTTCTTTCATTCTTTCTTTCTTTCTTGCTTTCATTCTTTCTTTCACTCGTTCTTTCTTTCTTTCTTTCTTTCATTCATTCATTCATTCATTCTTTCTTTCTTTCTTTCATTCTTTCTTTCACTTTCTTTCTTTCATTCATTCTTGCTTTCTTTCATTCTTTCTTTCTTTCATTCTTTCTTTCTTTCATTCTTTCTTTCACTCTTTCTTTCTTTTTCTTTTTTTTCCTTTTTCTTTCTTTCTTTCTTTTTTCATTTTTCTTTCTTTCATTCATTTTCTTTCTTTTCATTCTTTTTCTTTCTTCTTTCTTTCTTTCTTTTCATTCATTTTCTTTCTTTCTTTCTTTCTATCAGAATTCCTGTTTCTATAATTTTTATACATTTATCTGAATTTATTTCAACAAATTTTCCCATTATTTTTCCGTTTTTTTTCTTTTCCAATGACATTATTCATTATTTGTCTATATTTCTGTGATGAGGTATTATATACACTATTTACATTATTCGGACTATTGTCCTCATCTTTGTCACCATATATATTACAACGTTACGGCCGTTGTACGCTCCGGCCTTCTTCGGGTGGTTGGAATGTTGAAATGAACCCTGGCACAGTGGATAAAGGCGTTGGTTAGATCCAGTGACAGGACCCAAAGAGTGTGAGTTCAATACCCGGTTAAGACAGTGGAGAACTTGGAGAGGGGAATTAAAAGGAGATAACTGATAATTGACATCCATTAAAACATGGCACATGGAACTAGAACAGTCTACCCCAGTGAGCGAATAACGGGTTCACTTCAAAGGCCAGCATTTCGCTGACGATCCGTTTAGGTGAAACCTAGGTAGGTTTGCCAGGCCCCATAGGATTATCTTAAGTTTTGCTCTACTTCGTGTATTGAGCACTTTACGCAGTTATCTTTTTACTCGTTTTGGAGGTTTTTTTTTTTTTTTTGGACTCGGAGCTTGAACACGGGACGATTGTTTTCGCTTTGGTTTAAGGTTCTTGGTTCTTTCTTTTTTTATTCCTCATCTTTCCTCGGGTACTGATTTTTTCTACTGCAAGTCGAGCCATCCAAGGTTTTTCCAAGAGTCAGAATCTCCCTAACGATCTGTTTAGATGAAACCTAGGTAGGTTTGCAGGCTCCTTATATATATATATATATATATATATATATATATATATATATATATAATAAGGTAATGAATGGTTTAGTAATCCGAGTGGATGCAATTGAGGCAGCTCAATGTAACACCAGAGCAAGTATTAATTAAATAATTAAGAAAGAGGCAACCTTAAGTTTCCATGACTATAATTTATTTACCCAGAAAATATATTTTTCCTGGTTCATTAGGTCACATCACTAGTTACAAAGGAATTTGGGTTCTTTTATTTTTAATACAAGTTTTTGAGGGATAGTTTTAGATTGATATAAAGTGACAGAGGTAGTAGGAGGGGGAGGACCATAGAATGATCTATCTTGGAAATGGAAAGTAATGATAAGGTTGTTTATATATATATATATATATATATAGTTTACAAATTCAAGTGGCCTTTGGGAGATTGTATCTCCAACGAATTAAATAATATTTATGTTGGTCACACGACAAACTCGCATTCACGACGCTTGACACTACATTTGAACGATAACTCTAACATTTTTAGGCATTTAAAACAACATGCCTTGCCGCATACACTATTCCGTAAAATCCTTGTAGAAAACACAACTATACTTAAACATGAAAACAATAAACAAAAGCTATAAATTCATGAAGCTACATACATAAAACAGTTGAAACCTAACCTGAACAAAATAAACTATGAAATATCCACAAATATTCTTAAATGTCTATAATTGGTAACAGAAACCATTGGTTTATACGAACGGCTTCCCATACTTAATACATCTCGAATTCGCTCTCGCGTGGTCATGAGTGACGTCATGAGCCGCGGTGCGATTTTCACTTCCAGCGTCTTATATGCACGTGTTTATCGTTGCTTGGAAATCATCCATGTAAATAGAAACAGACTATCATCACTGTCTTGTCCGTATATTGCTTAACATATTGTACAGTAATTGTCATCTTTGATAATGGCTTATGTAAGCCGAAAGTTTAGATTGGATTAAAAAATATGGATCAATATTGTAATTTTCTTTCTTCGTTTAATGATAATGTTATTAAGTTTATCAGACGCTATGAAAAGAATTTACATAAAATAAATAGACAACAACTTGTCTATATTATTTAATGAAACATGTATGAATGAAAAATGTTGCCTAAATACACACAATTTAAATTATATATATATATATATATATATATATATATATAGAAAATATATATATATAAGTCGTTGTGTGTGTGTGTGTGTGTGTGTGTGTGTGTGCAACATTATAGTGATTAAAACGAAAAGGTGGTTATAGTGTTTCTTGTAATATATCGATTTAATAGGCCGCTTAATAAAATTTGAAGAATGATGGCAAACTTATAGTCTGGGTCTTCGGACACGCCTGTATTCATTTTCAACGATACGAGGAATAAACAATGAATAAACAAAAAGAACGCAGGCATTATTAGGAAAATGATGACATTAAATTCTATCTCTTTGTTCGTCAATTCAGGTTAATAAATAATAAATATCACTTTTATTGACAATATTCGGATAATTTTGTTGGCTTTTTATTCTTCAAATTTTATTAACCGGCCTATTAAATCTCTTCCTTTCTTTCTTAATTTGAGTATCTTCTTCTTAAAATTTAACACACACAAATATATATATATATATATATATATATATATATATATATATATATATATATATATATATATTTTGAGAGAGAGAGAGAGAGAGAGAGATTGTTAGGTCTACAAAACTTCATCACCATCAGGTCATATATACATCAATAAATAGGGCACCTCGAGGCGGTGTAATGGTTCGCAAGCTTGTCTCGCTAAAATAATTACCACTGAGTAGTGAGTTCGAGTCTCACTGGGTGCCCCCTACTTTCGGCCTTGTGACACATCTAAGCTACGCTTGGAAAATCTTTGTATGCATCAATAAATTCACAGCTTAATGAATGAAATGTTCGTATAAATTTTTCAATATATTCTTAATATAATAGATTAGAACTTCCAGGCCAAATTTCTTGATAATGTTTTGTATTGCATATTACGACCTAAGGACAAGCTATTCTAATTTTGATTTTTCAGTATCTAGAATTGATTGAATCCGTTCAAATGTTGTAACGAAAGAAACAAGTGATAATCTGAAGTCTACAGGATCGTACAATGCGCCATATGCGAAAGAACTTACTATGCAATGATTGTTTCATCTGATTTGCAACTTGAGAATGGCCGCTGTCACGCAGCCAAATTACGGGTTGAACTTAACGCCTAGAAATATGTATTTCATTTTTTTTTAATGCGTCATCCACTGCATCTATCCGCAGTAACATTTCGTCTAGTCTGTAGTTTTTCGAAATAAAAGATTCCTTTTTCGAATTCCACCAGTCACAGAGAAGGACATTTTACAAAGTAGAGGCCGTTTCCTTTTCGATAATGAAAACTACCTAGAATTCTTTCTTTTTACGATTTGGATCCTCGTGATAAAACAATTTTTCGTCGTCACCGATTTTCTGTGCTGAGAAAAAAAAAAAGAGAAAGAGAAATTTTAAAACTGGGACTGATATTCACAGATAACCCTGTCTTGATTCTTATATATATATATATATATATACAATATATATATATATGATGGACTCATTTTGAGTTCGACGTATGAGGTTCCTGGAAGCCTATGACCAACGAACTAATTATTGGTCTTACAAATGACAGCCATGACTTTTGAGACTTTATCTATGAATTGCACAAAAAGACCAAAACAGTGGACAGGAGAATACCATTGTATCCAGGTCTCTGGATGGGAACCTGAAAAGTTTTCTTATTTATTTTTCGTGGAAATAAAGCAACGAATGATACTTACTAATGGGATGGTGCTTTATTCCTGCCTGGCAGCCAAAACGATACTCTGATCTCTTCATCGCTACGTCTTTAAAGTTCTTGAATGAAATGTTGACGAAAGAAATGTTGCTCTTCAGTTTATCTTTATACCCGAGACAAGGTCTACTAACATTTCTATGACCACTGAGAAGTTCACTGTTAAAAAAGAACTTTTAGTATGTCTGTCATCTGAAATCCTCGAGACATAACCAACCGTATTTTTTTTTTTTGTGATTGATTATGGATTTTTTTTTAAAAATGACGTTTTTGACACTCTAAATTAAATATTAGATTATATTGTGCGCAGATATGGAAGACATAAAAAAATTATTTAAATCTATAAATTCTCCAGCCTCTTTCAGCGCCATACAAAAGAGTTGCAAAACGGCGTCTTTGTACACTTGAATTTTAGTCATCAAAACAGAGTTTATTTCCTTTCATCCTTCAAATTGTACTTGACGCAAATAACCAAAGGAATTTCGCTCCCCTTTTTGCATGGAAAGATAATTAATAATCGTACCATGCATGTACTGATGCAAAAAATTCACTATGAAAATAAAATATTTGAAAGATTCCATATACTTGAGATTCTTTCCATCAACTTGTAAAGGGACTTTAGGAAACTTACGAACAGGGACAGGGTCTCTGTTTTACACCTCTAATTTGCTTCGGTGTCGGGCAAGGTTGATGAATAACTTCAGTTTTCTTGACGCTGATGATAAGTCTGAATGGCTTGCGTGCCACAGAAAACCGGTTGAGTATACCGTGAGCTTCCTCTAAAGAGTTAACTACAAGGGCAGTGTCGTCTGCAAAAAAATAGATCCCATATAATACTGGTATGTAGAACGGACTGAGATAAATAAATTGATAGATAATGAAAAGATTGGGATAGATAGATTAGGATAGATGGATAAATAGCTAGATATGAGCAGATTGAGATAGATAGATAGATAGATAGATAGATAGATAGATAGATTAGAATAAATAGATAGATAATGAACAGATTGAGATAAATAGATAGATGGATAAATAGATAGATAAAAAACAGATTGATATATATATATATATATATATATATATATAATATATATATTATATTAGTCGGACTATTGTCTCATCTTTGTGCCATATTTGTCCAACGTTGCACTCTCTCTCTCTCGACTGATTTGACATTACTCAGATATATTAGCCATCGTCGAACTTTTTTTCTATCCGAAATATTTAGGGTTTCGAGAAGTAATTGCTTAATAGCATTTAGGAGCCGCTGTTTTTTGTCCTCATTTTTCTCGCCAATTGGCAGACAACTTTTTTTCGCTGCATCACAGCTCCTCCTAGACGTCCGATTGCTTCAAGTCAGGATCAAACCATTTATTCA